GCCTGCTACAAAATAATATACTATCATACAGGAATAAATAAGCTGGTAATGATAAGTGATGATATAATTGCATCTGTAAGTCATATATGGTAAGAACATAAGAAAATAAGGAGTCTGCAATAGGCCGGTTGGCCTATGCATGGCAGCTCCTGTCGAGAGTTACTACCACTCTCTATCATCCATGAATCTATCCGGCCTCCTTTTGAAACTTTCCAGAGTTCCAGCACTTACTACAAAGTTGCTAAGCTTGTTCCACTCGTCCACCACCCTATTTGTGAACCAGTTTCTTCCTATCTCCCTCCTAAACCTAAACTTATCCAACTTGAATCCGTTGCTCCGAGTCCTATCCTGCTCGGATATTATAAGAACTTTATCTATATCCCCTTTATTGATTCCTTTCACCCATTTAAATACTTCTATCATATCTCCCCGCACTCTTCGTCTTTCTAGGGAATGCAAGTTAAGTTTCTTTAACCTATCCTGATATGGAAGGTTTCTAAGTCCCGGAATCATTTCTGTCATTCTTCGCTGCACCGACTCTAGTGAATTTATATCCATTCTATAATAGGGGCACCAGAACTGGACCACATAATCGAGGTGCAGCCTGACTAGCGCAAGATATAGTTGCAATAAGACATCTGCACTCTTGTTACTTACACTTCTAGATATAAAACCCAATACTCTGTTTGCCTTATTTCGAACATTAACGCACTGTTTTCTAGGCCGTAGGTCCGGGCTTACAAGTACCCCTAGGTCTCTTTCACAAGTCGACTTCTCTAGGTTGATGTTGTTAAGGCTGTATACATTATAAGTATTTGTTCTTCCAATATTAAGTACGCTGCACTTGCTGGTGTTGAATTTCATTTGCCATTTTTCAGACCACCCCTGGCTGACCAGACATAGACTGTTTCAGAATAGGTGTTATGTCATTGTTGGATGGATATAATGACGTTTAGCTAAATTTCATAAGTTATATCTAAGCCAGTGCTTTGCAGAAAGAAATTTCTAACTGCATGAATGTACAGCAAAAACAAAAGTCGTGTCATGGAATTTGGTGAAAACATATGCTGAAGGGTTGAAACTTTTGGTGCACTCTGCCTTGTGGTAGGAGGCTCTCATAATGTTTCATGAGTTATACTGTATTTAATCTTCGGTCAAAACCGCGACACGACTTTTGTCTTTGACTGTACAATGCTCTTTTAAAATTTGCAGTCCTTCATGTAGGTCACCAGGCATTGGTACAATATAGGATATTCTTTCAGCCGCTCTTGTATTTTTGTATTACACTGATTATTTATCAAACAACTCTCTAAACAATGAATCTTCACAAAAAAGGTTCTAAATGTTAATTTTTCTTTCTTTTGGCAGATTTACAACTGTCTTTCTACAAACCTTCATCCAGGCCTTTAAGAATAATCGATGTTTTAGATAGCACTGAAAATAAATCTCATGTTTCTGCCAAGTCAAGTAACAAGATATACATCATACCGCCAGAACAAGTTACAGGCGACATTACTGATAAAGATTCAGTAGACGAAGATGGTGGTGGTACCATGAATAAATTGCCAGGAAACCTGGTTAAACAGCCATGAGAACAGGATGAATCAAAATATGTGAGAGGAAAAAAATGGTATTCAAGCTTGGTAACCTATTTTATTGATACAGTAATGAATAATGCATGGCAACCACATCAGAAGTGTAACCCCAATGCATCCATAGATCTGCTGCCTTTTTGAAGATGTGTTGCACGGTTTTATTTAGAACAATATTATAATTCACTACACCAAGTAAAAAGAGGAAGACCATCTATCAATGTGCCAGATAGTAGATATGATCAGTTTGGGCAATAGGCGATTCCCCAAGAAAATCAATGCCAGTGCACACTGTCATCAAAATACACTACAAGATATGAAAAATGCCAGAAAGGAGTCCCTGTGAACTGCTTCAAAGAGTATTGTCGATAATAATATATAGAAAAGATATATTGGTCATTTTTATATTGGTGATGCATAGAGGCCAATATTATTGTAATACAAAATGTATTTAAATTTTTAATCATAAATGTACAGATATTTTACAAGATGTAACATGTTTCAGCATATCACACAGTAGCAAAAAATTTAATTTTCATTTTGTGTTTGGGTAATGCCCTGAGGCTTATGTAATTGTAGCATAATTTTTTTTAATGCATTTTTTAAAAGTTTGTGGATTTTAAGGGTAATTCATTTACTGTACTATATGTAATTTTAAAGCCAAATTTCACCATAATTATAACATGCATACCTCTTCTAACGTATTTTTAACATATCAGCCGATATTTCTGAATTCTGCTGAGTGGCCATTTCCAGAGTAACCTGAATCTTCTACTAAAATTGGACTAATTCCTTGACAAAAATTTCCCTTTTATACATCATTCTCACCACCATAAGATGATATTCTGAACAGTTTTAATGAGCTATCACAGGCAATCAAAACTTTCAATGTATGATTTATTATATGAAGGACATTATTGAAGCCAAGACTGGGATAACCACAATAAAGGCTGATTATTGAACTTATCTGAGATCTTCAGTTGTATTGGTATGCTATACAAAACTTGGTTACAATCAAACATTACATGTTCTAATTATTGTGTTCACATCTCATAGATAAATGGGTGGGTAGACAAAAAGACAAGCAGAACATGCATTCCTAAATCCCTTCATGGGATGGTGGGGAACAATAAGCACGAGTACAAACCACTAATGAACCTACCAGAAATATCCACCAACTGATCAAATATATCGTCATCATGTTTGAGGTCCGAGTCTAAAGGAGCAACACTAGGCAAAGAACATATATATTCCTGCCCATGTTTATTCACGACAGTCATCACCTCTCCATCCCAACCCTGAAACAGAACAAAATTATCTGTTCAACAAGACAGATAAAATACAGGTACTGTACTGTATAAGATATAGTTTTGCACCTTAAATCAAAATATAAAAAGCTTTACAAAAAATGGAGAACCCACATATAAGGAGATAGAGCAAAAAAAATTTTAGTAACAATTTATGGTATTTTTGCCAGAAATTTACAGTTCGTGTTTTTTTACTACTCTATTTCACTTAAAGAAATGCAATTTTGGTCACACAAAGTAAGCAGGGCTTTGAAGTAAAGGGAAATTGTGGACTAAAAACATACAAAAAGCTGACAAAACCAAACTTAATGAAAACTAACGACTCTCAAATATCAATGCATGTATACATATCAAATTTAGTCTAACCAGAGAAACCAGAAGGCCCTGACCTAACCTCCTATCCGAAACTTAGCATAACCCAACAAGACAAAAGAAAAAACAACAGAACGTAAAGAAACCAAACCTGAAAAAAAAAAAGGAAAAAAAAAAACTGAAAAATATAAATTTATGATGAAAACGCGGGTAACTGCATCCAAACGAGTATCATGTGACATCAACAACCCTGCTGATTGGCTGAGTAAGAAGTAAATATTGTATATCGTCACAAACTTGTACTCTCGAGTGAAATCGAAGTGAAAATAACTCAAAATACATAAATTTCCAACGGGAACGGTATAGAGCAAAGTATTATTATTTTATCTATTTTTTGGTTCTACCTCCCTATAGTATACGAATCAATATAAAGTTCCATGAATGGTCACTACGGACTATTAACCAATATTTCATAAAAAAGTTCTCATTCGCGTCCTTGTAATGAAAACACTGATAACACACAAAAACACAAAGAGAATCACATAGTGCTCCTGCATCAATTAAATGAGGTAAGATTGTGTTGTATTAGGACTTTCTGTAGGTTAGGGAAGGTTAGATCAGGTTCTCAAAGGTTTGATTTTCTGTTTTTTAGTGTTTTAAGAGGTCATTTTCCCTCACATTCAAAGCCCTGCCCACTTTCTGCAAATCCTTGGTGTATCTCTCTAAATACCCGTCATACATCAGCGACGAAAATAAAGGTCACTTTCTTTTAATTACCATGGAAAACATAATAAAATATACTTTGGATATCAAGTTCCCATTATGGTCACTAATGAGTCTTTACCCATGAAAGTAAATTTAAAAATTGCCCACACAAATTAAGCAAAAAAAAAATACAGCAGTAAATACTGAAGTTGAGCCAGTACAGTACGCACTAGTGCAAAAATTAGATCTGGTTAATGTCATATTGTTTATCCCTACCGTACTTCACTATCATATATTCGGTAATATTGCAGCAAACAGCAACCACAGAATTCCGGAAATTCACTACACTCAATCGATAGAATTATTTTTTCTACGATAATTTTCTTATATTACATTAGGTTAGGTTAGGTAACACATTTTTTTATCAGATTCTTTGGTTGCTGTAATCTGCAATTTTACCATAAATTCACTTTATCCATTAAACAAAACTTTTCTGTAAAATTTTCATGGGAAAATATCTTTTAGTGTTGGTCTGTCAATAATTTCCCTATATTTTGTGTCTACTGTATACCAGTAAATACTACTACAGTGTGAACAATAATATTCCTTACGCTCAGCTGACACATAAATAATAATTATCAAACAAAAAAAGATAAGAATAATTGTGAATATACATTAATTCAACTAGGAAGTAACTGGTAATGGAAGGTAAATATGAATGACTTGCTAAGCTGGAGCAACCATCTTACCTGGTCCTTTACCACTGGTTTATTTAAGATGTCAATCGCATAGTGGATTGAATTGATTTCATCCACGTTGAGGACAGTGTTTACAGCAGTAACTACAGTAATGAGAGAACAAATAATGATATATCCACTAGACCCGGGCATCTTGTTCACACCACCAACTATGTGGCGTCTGCTCGGCTCCACCTGACACTTTAACACTACTACATTCTGGAGTCTGTGCATGTGTAATTATTTCTATGATAAATTTATCCAGTTAGTATATATTTCTAATTTATTTAATATGTATATTATGAATATGTTCGTTTGCATTAATTTTCGTATCCTATGTTTTGCTTTAGGCTTGTGTCTCAGTGTTTGTTTTGTTTATACCCTATACTAAGCTAAAGTGCTTATACAGTATTATATTATGATTGTTTGTGATTATCAGAGATTGTGAACTGGGTCCCCTCTTTGCTGAATAAAATCTTCTGGCGATAACCAAATAAAATATTAAAAGTGCCATCCACATATAGAAGCGATTAAAGGTGTCCACTTCTCCCTTTTTCTGAAACAAGTAGGTCATATTATTTTGTTCCTCAAGTAAGTAATTCATATATTGCAAAGATCTCTATTTGTAAAGTTTCTGTAGTCTACAATTTGTCAGTCAGTATATTCGTAAATGGAAAACATAAATGTGCATTTCAATGACAATATATATACCTGTATATATATATATATATATATATATATATATATATATATATATATATATATATATATAATTAGTTCTGAACCCAAAGACTCCATTATCGATTTACCAATCTACTTTGCCTAATGACCACCTAAATTAAAAATGGCCATAATGACGAGGGAAGGGGCCAGTGGCCTGGGTAGAAGCCCTCCATTGTTCTTGGTAGTCTTGTCAAGGGCTAATTTGAAGCCCAGTACTTTCACTAAGCTGTGAAAGTGAAGAAGTAATTCCTTTTATCGGTCCTACGTGACACTTTGGCGAGCTTGAAATTGTGTCCTCTCGTATTAGTGGCGAGTGATAACGCGAAAAATGACCCGAGTTTATGTTTTCCATCCAAGATTTATAATAATAATAATAATAATAATAATAATAATAAACGGTTTATTAATAGAGTTGCAGCCGGTGGCTGAAAATATACAAACTTACTTTAGATTGCTATAACGAACGGATTCTACTATGAATATTCCTATAACGAACGGTTTTACCTATAAAATTGAGAATGCTATAACGAACGCAACTCCTACAACGAACGCGGATGAATACCGGACTATTTCGCCTGGCGCATGAATATTGTTGTACCGCGACCCACAACAAGAGCGTCAGGCGCCATCTTTGTCTCATTGTGCACCACTGTTATTGTTGAAATTTCGTCTTTTGATGTGGAAATTCGTGTTTTTTTATAATTATTTTGTTATACAAGTGTACAATTGTAACAATGAATCGTCAAAAGCAGTGAGAAAGCTAATAACCCTTGAAACTAAGAAAGAAATTATAAATAAACAGACAAAGTGCCTGTAAGACAGTCACCAAAGAGGGATAGGAAGGATGACTCCTCTCCTTCCACCTCTTCTCCATAATGCTCTCCTCCCCCCTCCTCCTCTGCCTCCTGTCCTCAGGGCCGGTTTTAAGCCTATTTGACCAATTTAATCAAATTGGGCCCCGCGCCGCAAGGGGGCCCCGCACACACGTGTGTTAGTTTTAAACTGTATACGATACAAGGTTGTATGAGCATGAAAATTCTAAAAACCATTTGGAAGCCACATGGCAATTCTGGGAGTTATACCAAAGACATTATAGTGGACAGACTATTGACAAAGAACGTGAACTAACTATTAATAAACATGCAAAGTACTGGCAGCAAGTATTCAAAAGGCTAGTGGCAATAGTGCAGTTTCTTGCTGAGAGAAATTTATCATAGAAATAATTACACATGCACAGACTCCAGAATGTAGTAGTGTTAAAGTGTCAGGTGGAGCCGAGCAGACGCCACATAGTTGGTGGTGTGAACAAGATGCCCGGGTCTAGTGGATATATCATTATTTGTTCTCTCATTACTGTAGTTACTGCTGTAAACACTGTCCTCAACGTGGATGAAATCAATTCAATCCACTATGCGATTGACATCTTAAATAAACCAGTGGTAAAGGACCAGGTAAGATGGTTGCTCCAGCTTAGCAAGTCATTCATATTTACCTTCCATTACCAGTTACTTCCTAGTTGAATTAATGTATATTCACAATTATTCTTATCTTTTTTTGTTTGATAATTATTATTTATGTGTCAGCTGAGCGTAAGGAATATTATTGTTCACACTGTAGTAGTATTTACTGGTATACAGTAGACACAAAATATAGGGAAATTATTGACAGACCAACACTAAAAGATATTTTCCCATGAAAATTTTACAGAAAAGTTTTGTTTAATGGATAAAGTGAATTTATGGTAAAATTGCAGATTACAGCAACCAAAGAATCTGATAAAAAAATGTGTTACCTAACCTAACCTAACCTAACCTAACCTAATGTAATATAAGAAAATTATCGTAGAAAAAATAATTCTATCGATTGAGTGTAGTGAATTTCCGGAATTCTGTGGTTGCTGTTTGCTGCAATATTACCGAATATATGATAGTGAAGTACGGTAGGGATAAACAATATGACATTAACCAGATCTAATTTTTGCACTAGTGCGTACTGTACTGGCTCAACTTCAGTATTTACTGCTGTATTTTTTTTTTTGCTTAATTTGTGTGGGCAATTTTTAAATTTACTTTCATGGGTAAAGACTCATTAGTGACCATAATGGGAACTTGATATCCAAAGTATATTTTATTATGTTTTCCATGGTAATTAAAAGAAAGTGACCTTTATTTTCGTCGCTGATGTATGACGGGTATTTAGAGAGATACACCAAGGATTTGCAGAAAGTGGGCAGGGCTTTGAATGTGAGGGAAAATGACCTCTTAAAACACTAAAAAACAGAAAATCAAACCTTTGAGAACCTGATCTAACCTTCCCTAACCTACAGAAAGTCCTAATACAACACAATCTTACCTCATTTAATTGATGCAGGAGCACTATGTGATTCTCTTTGTGTTTTTGTGTGTTATCAGTGTTTTCATTACAAGGACGCGAATGAGAACTTTTTTATGAAATATTGGTTAATAGTCCGTAGTGACCATTCATGGAACTTTATATTGATTCGTATACTATAGGGAGGTAGAACCAAAAAATAGATAAAATAATAATACTTTGCTCTATACCGTTCCCGTTGGAAATTTATGTATTTTGAGTTATTTTCACTTCGATTTCACTCGAGAGTACAAGTTTGTGACGATATACAATATTTACTTCTTACTCAGCCAATCAGCAGGGTTGTTGATGTCACATGATACTCGTTTGGATGCAGTTACCCGCGTTTTCATCATAAATTTATATTTTTCAGTTTTTTTTTTCCTTTTTTTTTTCAGGTTTGGTTTCTTTACGTTCCGTTGTTTTTTCTTTTGTCTTGTTGGGTTATGCTAAGTTTCGGATAGGAGGTTAGGTCAGGGCCTTCTGGTTTCTCTGGTTAGACTAAATTTGATATGTATACATGCATTGATATTTGAGAGTCGTTAGTTTTCATTAAGTTTGGTTTTGTCAGCTTTTTGTATGTTTTTAGTCCACAATTTCCCTTTACTTCAAAGCCCTGCTTACTTTGTGTGACCAAAATTGCATTTCTTTAAGTGAAATAGAGTAGTAAAAAAACACGAACTGTAAATTTCTGGCAAAAATACCATAAATTGTTATTAAAATTTTTTTTGCTCTATCTCCTTATATGTGGGTTCTCCATTTTTTGTAAAGCTTTTTATATTTTGATTTAAGGTGCAAAACTATATCTTATACAGTACAGTACCTGTATTTTATCTGTCTTGTTGAACAGATAATTTTGTTCTGTTTCAGGGTTGGGATGGAGAGGTGATGACTGTCGTGAATAAACATGGGCAGGAATATATATGTTCTTTGCCTAGTGTTGCTCCTTTAGACTCGGACCTCAAACATGATGACGATATATTTGATCAGTTGGTGGATATTTCTGGTAGGTTCATTAGTGGTTTGTACTCGTGCTTATTGTTCCCCACCATCCCATGAAGGGATTTAGGAATGCATGTTCTGCTTGTCTTTTTGTCTACCCACCCATTTATCTATGAGATGTGAACACAATAATTAGAACATGTAATGTTTGATTGTAACCAAGTTTTGTATAGCATACCAATACAACTGAAGATCTCAGATAAGTTCAATAATCAGCCTTTATTGTGGTTATCCCAGTCTTGGCTTCAATAATGTCCTTCATATAATAAATCATACATTGAAAGTTTTGATTGCCTGTGATAGCTCATTAAAACTGTTCAGAATATCATCTTATGGTGGTGAGAATGATGTATAAAAGGGAAATTTTTGTCAAGGAATTAGTCCAATTTTAGTAGAAGATTCAGGTTACTCTGGAAATGGCCACTCAGCAGAATTCAGAAATATCGGCTGATATGTTAAAAATACGTTAGAAGAGGTATGCATGTTATAATTATGGTGAAATTTGGCTTTAAAATTACATATAGTACAGTAAATGAATTACCCTTAAAATCCACAAACTTTTAAAAAATGCATTAAAAAAAATTATGCTACAATTACATAAGCCTCAGGGCATTACCCAAACACAAAATGAAAATTAAATTTTTTGCTACTGTGTGATATGCTGAAACATGTTACATCTTGTAAAATATCTGTACATTTATGATTAAAAATTTAAATACATTTTGTATTACAATAATATTGGCCTCTATGCATCACCAATATAAAAATGACCAATATATCTTTTCTATATATTATTATCGACAATACTCTTTGAAGCAGTTCACAGGGACTCCTTTCTGGCATTTTTCATATCTTGTAGTGTATTTTGATGACAGTGTGCACTGGCATTGATTTTCTTGGGGAATCGCCTATTGCCCAAACTGATCATATCTACTATCTGGCACATTGATAGATGGTCTTCCTCTTTTTACTTGGTGTAGTGAATTATAATATTGTTCTAAATAAAACCGTGCAACACATCTTCAAAAAGGCAGCAGATCTATGGATGCATTGGGGTTACACTTCTGATGTGGTTGCCATGCATTATTCATTACTGTATCAATAAAATAGGTTACCAAGCTTGAATACCATTTTTTTCCTCTCACATATTTTGATTCATCCTGTTCTCATGGCTGTTTAACCAGGTTTCCTGGCAATTTATTCATGGTACCACCACCATCTTCGTCTACTGAATCTTTATCAGTAATGTCGCCTGTAACTTGTTCTGGCGGTATGATGTATATCTTGTTACTTGACTTGGCAGAAACATGAGATTTATTTTCAGTGCTATCTAAAACATCGATTATTCTTAAAGGCCTGGATGAAGGTTTGTAGAAAGACAGTTGTAAATCTGCCAAAAGAAAGAAAAATTAACATTTAGAACCTTTTTTGTGAAGATTCATTGTTTAGAGAGTTGTTTGATAAATAATCAGTGTAATACAAAAATACAAGAGCGGCTGAAAGAATATCCTATATTGTACCAATGCCTGGTGACCTACATGAAGGACTGCAAATTTTAAAAGAGCATTGTACAGTCAAAGACAAAAGTCGTGTCGCGGTTTTGACCGAAGATTAAATACAGTATAACTCATGAAACATTATGAGAGCCTCCTACCACAAGGCAGAGTGCACCAAAAGTTTCAACCCTTCAGCATATGTTTTCACCAAATTCCATGACACGACTTTTGTTTTTGCTGTACATTCATGCAGTTAGAAATTTCTTTCTGCAAAGCACTGGCTTAGATATAACTTATGAAATTTAGCTAAACGTCATTATATCCATCCAACAATGACATAACACCTATTCTGAAACAGTCTATGTCTGGTCAGCCAGGGGTGGTCTGAAAAATGGCAAATGAAATTCAACACCAGCAAGTGCAGCGTACTTAATATTGGAAGAACAAATACTTATAATGTATACAGCCTTAACAACATCAACCTAGAGAAGTCGACTTGTGAAAGAGACCTAGGGGTACTTGTAAGCCCGGACCTACGGCCTAGAAAACAGTGCGTTAATGTTCGAAATAAGGCAAACAGAGTATTGGGTTTTATATCTAGAAGTGTAAGTAACAAGAGTGCAGATGTCTTATTGCAACTATATCTTGCGCTAGTCAGGCTGCACCTCGATTATGTGGTCCAGTTCTGGTGCCCCTATTATAGAATGGATATAAATTCACTAGAGTCGGTGCAGCGAAGAATGACAGAAATGATTCCGGGACTTAGAAACCTTCCATATCAGGATAGGTTAAAGAAACTTAACTTGCATTCCCTAGAAAGACGAAGAGTGCGGGGAGATATGATAGAAGTATTTAAGTGGGTGAAAGGAATCAATAAAGGGGATATAGATAAAGTTCTTATAATATCCGAGCAGGATAGGACTCGGAGCAACGGATTCAAGTTGGATAAGTTTAGGTTTAGGAGGGAGATAGGAAGAAACTGGTTCACAAATAGGGTGGTGGACGAGTGGAACAAGCTTAGCAACTTTGTAGTAAGTGCGGGAACTCTGGAAAGTTTCAAAAGGAGGCTAGATAGATTCATGGATGATAGAGAGTGGTAGTAACTCTCGACAGGAGCTGCCATGCACAGACCAACCGGCCTATTGCAGACTCCTTATGTTCTTATGTTCTTACCATATATGACTTACAGATGCAATTATATCATCACTTATCATTACCAGCTTATTTATTCCACCTGTATGATATAGTATATTATTGTAGCAGGCAGCAAACACACAAAAGTAACATTTCTCCTAATACTATGGCACATTTGGTCGTGCCATAGGTTTGGCAAGAAGAGTATGAATGTTGTCCATGTAATAAAGAAGATTGAATGCAGTAATCTTTTATTGGTTTAGCCCAATACAGTACTGTATTACCTAAGTCCACATTTAAAATATTAGCATTCACAGAATGCCACGAATGTGTGTTATTCTAAGTTTTTATTAGGCTGTTAGATTTATCTAATTGATGACACCAGCAAGCATCAGTGGAACCCCTGTAAAGGTTCACTGTACACAGCATCCCTGACTTTGCATCTCTCTTGAGTAACTTACTCTTACTGTGGTAAGCTTGTCTGTTATCTTTGACTAATCTGGATGAAATACAAACCTTAAACTGTAGCCCAACTGTCACAGTCATCATTCTTGTTGGTGTTTACTGGTGCTGGTATATAATTGTCTCATACATTTGACTACTGTATCTGTACAGCATTTTAATCATTCATATTTAAGAGACATTTTTCCATTGTAATTTTAGTATGAAATTTAGTGTTACTGTACTGTATAAAAAAAAAATTATTCCATGCTCATGTCTCTCTCCAACTTTAAAGTGACATTTTCAGATTACAGTACTGTATCTTCATTCTATTCATACTTAGTGAGACAGTTACTTTTGTAAAAAACTACATGTATTTTTGTGTACAGTACTGTATGGTGAACTTGACACATGAAACATACATTTATTTTTCCTCAAAAGCTATTACTGTATTGGCAATAAACTGCATTTTAATATTTTTTATTCATTGAGGAAGCTTTGTCCCAAATCCTCCATCATTTACCAAAACTGCCCCACATATATATGTATGGTGCTTGTGAATTTTCATGGCTGTAAATACCTGTACTTATGATATGTAATAATATTCTACTGTAATTTAGTCTTAAAATTATGTGCAATCTTAGTTTAGTATTGGAAATGAATTAATGTACCACAGAATTTCCTTTACTGTACAATATTATTCATATAAGCTTTAATTTTCAGTTCTTCTGAAACCTATGGAGACAGCCCCCTGCCTTATTAAAACTGTTGACTGGTGGACATACGAATTTTGCTATGGTTCAGTAATCAAGCAGTACCACTTGGAAGGTACAGTAATATAATTTGAACTATGATTTTTTTATTGTGGCTTGTTATTACATAACTCATGATTATGCATGATGTAGTTTCAGGAGCCCAGGGAAGCCCAAACCAATGCCAACTTGGGCAATAATCTGAAAGATTAACCTTATCACTCACAAGCATATTTGACCCTTAGAAAGGGTGATAAAAAAGCTGTATTTGTATATATAGCTGGAAGCAACAAGGTCTCATGACACAGCACATACGTGATGCATTCAACTCAAGCTCATTTGTAAATCAGGATGAATTACCACTACACTTTCCCAGCTGCTGGGCGTGTGGAAGGAGTTATGGTAGTTTTTTATCTCTGCTTATTCATTAGAAAGATAAGTGCTGGCCTCAATGTGAATACAGTACTGTAACTAGGCAGCTGAAAATTTTTTTTCTCTCATGGGTTAGTTTGGAAGTCTGCCATGAATGAGTGAGGATTGAAGCCTAGGAAACCAGTATGACTAATCCTGAAGAAAGATGAGATGCACGGTGACGTATGTGATGTCATGTGTTCATGTGGGAAAAATTATTTATTTCAGATGCTGTAGGGGAGGTTTATTTATCGTTTATATTAGTCCCCGTGACTAATAGCAGGCTGCTGTGTCCTAAACCAAGACCCTAGTGAACACATTATACAGTGTACACAAGCCGCTTATTTTTGGGCTCATCCGTAAATGGAGTTTTAGGATCAGTCCTTCATTTATAATGCATACAGTATACTTATACGTGTAGATAAATGTGTAATTTTCAATATCTATTACTGTATATTCAAAACAATATTTATATTTTAAACATATGTATGTAAGAGAAAATATGTAGCTATCATAGTGAAAAAATTTTGACTCTTAAATTTTTCAGACAATAAAGCCACTGGTCCCATAATTATTTTGGGCAAATATGAATCAGAATATAACTGGAGGAACAGCTCAGAAACCAAGAACCGTCTTCAGAGGTTTCACAGTCAATTTTACGTGAATGGAACAAAATGTGATCTCACAACAGAGCCCAGACGTACTGAAGTTAGAGTAAGTATGGTATAATATTGTTAAATAGTTTATAGTTCAAGAAAATTATTTACAATAATTTGTATCTCATTGGTATCAATATTGTATTACAGAATAGTCTGCCAAATTGTTAGTTACAGTAATGTTCTCAGGCTAATACTGTACGCTCCTGGCCATCGCATTATGCGCGGGGTCATGACGGACATAAACAACAAGTGGAAATATCAATAAAAAATTTATCTGAGAAGTTAACAAACTTCCGGTAGTCTAAAGGCCTCCCTTTTCTGTTGATACACTCCTGCAAGTGTGAAGGAACTGACTCTGCCAAGTTGTGGATTATTTGTGGATCTAAATTATTCCACTCCTCAGAATGGCTGCCTCCAGCTCGGGGACGATATTTGTGTCCTTGCCTTGTAGACAAAGCTTGATAATGCTCCACTTATTTTCTTTCGGGTTAAGGTCTGACAAATTGCTAGGCCAATCACTTATGAAGTCTACCTGACAGTCAACAAGCCATTGTATTTAAGATTTTGCTGTGTGATACGGGGTACCATTCTGCATAAACACATCAGCGCGGCATTTTTCAAAAGACCCGAGCAAATAATCACAAAGCAGCTCCAAGTAGTTAAATTGGTTCATCATCACATTCCTAGGTAGCACAACAAGATCACCAGTTCCAATGTACGAGAAACAATCCCACACCATTAGTGACTCAGGATGCTTAACTGTGCTAAAAGTGAACATTAAAAGTACAACTTCCAGTAAAAGAAAACGTTGCCTCGTCACTCCACAGCACCTGCTGCCACTTGGTCGTATCCCACTGAGCGTTACCCTTGGCAAAAGTGACCCCACACATCCTCTGGACAAGGGTGAGGAGTGGCTTCTTGCGTGCGCGGTGGCCACGAAACTGCAGGTCGTCATAGATACAGCGGTGAACGGCACTTAAAGAAACATCACCATAGAAGTACAGGGTTTTTTCTTTCAATTCCTGTGCTGACAGACATGGATTAGCATCAAGTTGCCTCTTAAGAACAGTTAACATGCATTGGGAAGTTTTTCAAGCCTTCCCTGGCCGTCCAACGTGCACTGGGATTGCTAATCCGCCTTCATCTCGAAATCGTTTATTCCAAATCTGAACTGATTGTTCACTCATACCAACAATTCTTGATATTTCCTTTACAGGTTTCTTGCCTGTATGCAGACTAATAATAATTGATGCTATCCGCTCTTTTGTTAAATCTTTCCTCTTGCCCATTGTGGTAAAAAAAGCAAAGAAACAACTTTGCGTTGTGGCAATAATTAGGGGCAATGTTGGGGGAGGGGGGGTAAAACCCTCAGAATTGCTCACAAAATTTAGATGCGTAAGCAACTGCGAACGCTTTGATTGTTGGCTGACTTGTCCTCGAGTCTCCCTTCGCTGCTAGATGTACAATGCCTGCCCCCAGCCCCAGCTGGCTGGCGTGAAGGGTGTGAGAGAAACTCAGGAAAGATCACTTCCTGTTGACTATCTCGCATAATGCAATGGTAAGGAGTAAAATGTATCCTTCTACAATATGCCTTTTAAGTTCTTAACACCCTTACTGTGGTTCGCATACTACAGTAGTGTATAGGGTTAAACTGTATTAGACTTATGGCCTTCATTTTTATTTGGTTATAGTACAGTACACTGAATTATTTTTGTACTTTTTAATATATGCTATAAATTTTAATTACATTTTGTATGGCATTGACAAATATAACTGTAAATGTAAAATATATACTAGTTTTTTTAAGGAATTTTCATGCTGAAAATAATTGTAAAATTTTCTAAATGGATAAATTTCTTCAGTTTGATAAAAACTGATGTTTCCATAAAACAGTACAGTACTGTATTTAAATAATACATTTTATCAATAAAGGTATAAGGACTTGATAGTGACTTGGTACAAGGTGTGTCTGCTTCTTGGCTCCCCCGACACTGAGAGTGTTAAATTACATGATTTATTGCTAGACAGTACAAAGTCAGAATGTATATACTGTACTGTAGGTTATGAAAGTATTGCAGGCCAAGCAAATTGTTAAAAGAATGGAGAAGGATTGAGGTCTACAACTCTTTTTATAGCAACAATGGTAGGTTATTAATAAAACAACAAAGTTCATACCCGGTAACTGAAAATTGTCTGACATTGACCTCAGTGAAAGAAGACCATTAAGTAGAGTATGTCTTTATTGTTTTTTTAAAGAAGACTTTATAAAAATATTTTTGATACATACTGTAGTTTTTACAAAGGGTTTCAAAGGTTTTGTGAATTAATATAAAATGAAGACATTCGATCAGCTGATGAAAAACATAGTTTACCCCTCTGGCCTCAGTAGATGGCAATTCACTTAGCAGGCATGTCATCTGCTAGCAGGCAACCACTATGCCATTCTTCAAATAAGCAAAAACGAAATCCTCTTTTTTGTTCTTTTTTTTGCTTTATGAGTCACTGAGTCTGAATAATGCAGTCTAGGAAGCAGTTTTTCGGAACGTGAAAATGGAATTTGTATTGAGTGAGAAAAAATTAGTATGTTTTGGGGGTTTCAGTCCCATGCCCTGCTCTCTTGCATTAGTTTTCCCCAACATGCACGCTCATTTTGACATGGTTGTCAATTACTTAGATTCGTTTAGCAGGAAACTTCTTAGGAAAGTATCTATGTGTTATGAGTAATTACCTGCTTTGTTCCTGGGTAGTGAAGAAGCTGTAACTAAGTTTGATAATTTCCAGTAAGTTAGTTAATTTTGTAGGGAAGCCACTATCAAGGAACTTGAAATGATTGGATGGTTATATTGTATCAACCACATAGCTGAACCAGTGATTGCATGTCAGCTGTTCCCAGTACTACTTAAAACATTTTCCATTTACTGTATTAGGTTTCTTATTTAAGGGGGCAGTGTAGGGTTTAACTTTTTTCTCATCATAGCTATGATCAGCAACTCAGTTAATTTATCTTATGTTTTGTTTGTTCCTCAAGAGCTAAGTAATTTTAAAAACTTAATAATTTTCTTTCCACAGTTTCATTGTGAAGATGGTGTTGGGGATTATATCCAGAGAGTAGATGAGCCAGAGTCTTGTCGATATGTTGTTACTGTAGCAACTACTCGAGTGTGTCACCACCCATACTTGCGACTTCAGTCTGTACTTAACGCCTCACACCATTACATGTGCTCCAGCTCTCACATATGAGCAGTATCATAAATATCTCTCCTACCAGAACAGTATGTTTGATTCTATATTAATCTTTTTTTGTGAAAGTGAATTTCAATATGTGGGTGATTCATGTTTTAGCTGTACTACACTCATATACAGTGCCAAAGCTACAGCTGTTGTTAATGATAACAAATGGGATAATGAGTTGTGAACTGCCATTTCTACTGCATGTATATCACCTCACCTCATTTTGGGAATGCAGGTATTGGGACTCCTGGATTCCATCACTAAGAGCCATAATGTTGTGCCAGCCAGAAATATATTAGTCAGTTCTTGTAAGTCCTGAGTTGTTTTGTTTTTTTTGTCAGTTCTTGGAGGCACACAAGTGATTTTCTAAAGCAATTAAGTTACTTTTGTATTATTTGTATATAACATGATTTTACAGTAGTCCCCATAAATTAATCATGAATGTCCCCGGGCGATAATCTGGCATGTAATATTATTTCATTTGAAAATACAGGTATACTAAAATTTTAAATACATTATTTGTTCTTACAATATTCTTTTAAAACTGTTTTAGCATTTATTAATTATTTTCTGTTGCTATTTCACAAAACTGTGTTCTCCCTCAAAAAAATAAAAGCTAATATAAAGTGAATCTCTTAGTTGCCAAATGCTGCTATCTGATTGAAAGTTTTTGGGCATGGTGACATTACTGTATTTATTTGGGTGATTGTACATAAATGAAACACTAACACACTGGCCACATGGTACTGGTAAGTTAGTCATAATATTCCTTTATTAATATTGATCTTTGCTCTTCTTTCTTCTGATAACTAGTTGGCTTTTGTGAAACATGAGTTAGTCAAGTACTGTAGTTCATAATCATATATGGAGGACCAGATCCTGAAAATTATGATTGAGAATATAGTGGGGATCTTACTGGCCCTTTTTCCTCCCATGGATATGGCACAAGGTGGTCAGAAGTAATGGAATTCAGGAGCTTTTTTTTCTTTTAAGAATGTGAGGGAAAGTCATATGCAGACAGTGGACCTGGAAGTCCATGGCTTATTATTCCTTCGTTGTTCAATATCAATGGGTGTTTCTCTGGAGGATTCTTTAGGGTTCTGATTATGATTGAAGGTACAGCTGTTTAACAGCTCATAGGTACTCTATCAAGCTGTCAAATGGGATTTTGCAACTAGACAATTGCAGTATGTACTATAATAAGTCACTGACTATGTCCTCGATCATTAAAAGGGATATCAGGATTTAACCTTCCATTATTTTGTCAATAATGATTAGTGTATGTATGTTTATTGAAAAAAACAATCTACCGTATATACATAACTTGTAAATTTGTCTTGGTTGTAATATAGCAGTTTATGCATAAAGAGACTTATTTCTCATTTTTAAGTACAGTTTTCCCTTTAATGATGCAGGATGGCCAGAATGATGAACAAACACAGACACTCCACATATTATTATTTATCCATTCTGAATACTGTAATTACATAGTACAGAACTCCCTTTCCACAACAGGACCCCAGATATCAGTCTTGTTTACCTCTGTCACTTGATGCAACCCAGCATCACCCATCAGTAACTATATCCATCTCCAAAATCATTAAAGGGAAATATGTTAAAAAATAAATGGAATTTATCTTTTTTTCCAGATGCCTCAACTTGCAAAGATAAGTTGATTTTGTCTAATAAAAATAAAAATGAAATGAGATATCAAGTTTAGTGTGGTTTATTAGTACTGTATGTAGTAATGCACTCTTTTTGTGTAATGGAAGTAAACTCTTGAATGAATGGTAGAAGGCATACAGGAAGATAGATATCCATGGGATGTTAGAGTTAAAAGATAGGTGGGTGGACCATTAGGAGAATCAAAGTGAGATCTGATATTGTCAAGGGAGCAGTTGAAAAAGAAGGAAATTGTGTATTAACCCTTTGAGTGTAACTATTGAAAACTGACTTCCATACCGCTGTATGTGCAATAAACACAAAAAATAAGCTCTTAAAAATATGTTATGTTCATATAAGATTAAAGATATGCATGTAGAAGAATTTGAAATGATATGCATGTAGAAGAATTTGAAATGAAAATATAAATAATTTAACTACATTTATTTGGCTGTGGTGGAGTGTTTAAGTGAACCTTTGGAGGTTATCTACAAGGGTTATGTTGGCAGGCTCTGGAGGTGGTGAGGTGGCAACAAATGTGTCATCCACATGACAGGCTTTATGGATGCTAAAATTGGCACACAATTTAAAAAATTGCTGTTCTCGTATGAGGAACATTGCATATGTATAAGTGGGTTCATATGAAGGGTGTCACAATTTAAGGGTTAAGATGGTATAGACTTGTAGAAACATATAAAAGAAAATTGGAAAAAATTATTTACACCTGTATTAGTTCAGTAAATTTATTTGAAGTACAGTATATTTAGATGTAGTAAAAGATTGGTGAAAAAACTGTATAATCTAGAGGTGGGTGCTAGAAAGGGAAGGTAGACCAAGAGGGAGATGGAAGAATGGAATGAATTCTGAACTAGAAGTGAGGGGGGAAGGAGACCCAAGAAGCAGTGGTATACATTAATGACTGGAAAGCAAGGCAACCTGGGGCTTATGGGGATGGATGTGTTGTTGACAAGTGAAGCTGGGTTGTCCCAAACAGAAGGGAGAATCCAGGTAGATATCTTGGAGTCTTTTTATGGCAGGGGAATTAAATAACAGAACACTTATTTACAATAGTAAGAGTGAAGAAGAAATAATTTGATTGCTCTTGGTTTCAGCTACCCTATAATGTAGTGAGAAAAAGCTTGTGAGAGTGAAAGTAAAGGAGATGTAGATGAAATATTAAGCAGTTTGGAAAAATATTGAGTGATATGACATTTGAGAGAAGGTGGAATGCATTATTTGTAGAAATAAAAGATGTGCTGTGGACAATGTTTTACTGTACAGGCAGTTCTGCTATAACGCGATAATTGTGTTCTTGTAAAGTATCGTGTTATAGAAAATCGCGTAATAGAAATAACAGGGCTTATGGAGAAAATAGGGTTAGGTGCAGATTACTCGAAATCGAAAAAATTTAGTAGTTAGCCTAACACAAAGGATAGCACAGTCTAAATAAATGTTACATTCATATCTAATAATGAAATCATACAGTAAATTTAACACTTTACCTTGAAAAAATATGAATGTAACTTGATGGGGGAGAAGGGTGATTTTGAGGTTGATAACATCGAGCTTCTCTTCAAGAGTTATATCCTTTCTTTTACGATAATCACCGAATTCTATCATCAGAACGCTTTTGAGATATTCTTCTTTACCATATTCACAGTTAATACCACAAAATTGGAGAAATAGTAAGCAAAATCGTATGAGTAGCAAACAAGCCGTCACAGTATACAAATATTGTTCCGAATTCATAAATCGCGTTAGAGCAAATTCGCGTTATCAAAACACGCGTTATAGCAGAACTCACTGTAATCATGTTCTTTAGCAGCAAAAGGCCAGTTTATGTATGAGTAGTTACAACAAGAGTTAATTAGTAAACAAATTACAATTTGGGGTTGTGTAAATATATCACTGGAAAAGGCAGACATATATAGAATACTATTTTTGCTGCATTTCAATCATTATAATGCCTGTAATGAATTTACCATTGCAGAAAAAATTAAAGAAGAACAGAAATTGAAAGAAAAGTGGATTAAACAGAATGCTGAGATTCTTCAAGAAACAGCATCTGAGGAAAGCCAGTCCATTCTTCAACCCATCTCTACTGAAGCAGATGACGATGATGAGGAACTCAAAATGAATATAAAAATTTTCCGACTCTCTCCAGTTAAAAAACAAAAAAATCAGCAATCTACTGAAGTTAAGGCAGATATAATGGAGGTTGAAACACAAATAACACTTGAAGAAAGTGGTAAGTCATGGTATGAGATAAATACCATGGACAGTATTGTATTATAACTTTTTCATTTAGTATGACCAAGAATTACCATGAAAAAGTGAATCATGATATAATGGTCTATGTGTTCCAATAGGAATTATAGGGGACAGGACAGGAGCCCACAAAAAATACACCCAAAATTCCTTTTAGGACATTTACTATACCTGACCGGACCCATGCCAGACCACTTCAGTGCTCAAGTTCATCTAGTATAGTAACTTGAGAAAGTCTTACAAAACTTTATGGTGCTTGAAGTGGTAGAAGAAACACTTCAGGGACGCTTAGGCATCTTGGGGTGTTCACGGGAACTGGCGACTGTTGCACATGGTTGAGTTACAGAGAGTCAGAGTGAGTGTCCACAGGGCCTGGCATTTGAGTGTAGGAGAATGAGTAAGTGGCTGAACTTGTGTGAGAGGCTTGTGGTGTCTCCTAGTGAGATACTGAGGAAAGTTTTGCTTGTTGTTAGCTGTTTGATTAATGAAAATAGTGATCCATTTAAAAATATTAAATTTTTCTGGGTTTACACCACATACTAGAGGGGTTTGACTGTACTGTACAGTAAAGAAGAGTGGGAGTAATTTAGAGTGCTGGAAGATTACGAAAGTGAAGTCTCGAAATGTAAAATTACGAACTACTGTACAAGGTTTTCCTGCTATGGTGTAGATTGGCTGGATAAGTGCTGGTCTCCTTATTCTTAGCATTCAGTAGTGAGTGGGTTATCGAACCCTTGGTATGTTGCTAGTGTACTGAAGAGTTGTTACACCATTTGCACCCAATGATGGACAGTGTATTTATTTATTACTGAATGCACAAGGGTTTATGTACAAGGAAGAACATCAATCCTCCACTCCAATTGGAAATTCAAACCAGCGACCATTTGGCTGGAATGCATTTGCTTTGAACTAAATGGCAAATTGGACTTCATTTGATTTTTGGTTTATTAGCATGAAAAGTTTTCCTGTCAGTTGCAAAAATAGTGTACGTGAACATTTTTAAGCAAAGTGGAATATTGAGGGCAGTTAGGAGCTTTAACAATTGGTTTTCGAAGTTATTCATTACAGTATTTACTATACAAATAGTATGCAACTCAGTATTTAACAATTCTTAAATGGGGTGATAACTGCAATTTTGTTGACATAAGCATATAAGTCATTTGATCCACGCTTGCTAAAAGATAAGATTTCAAGATCAATTCCTGGTCAGCTGTCTGATAGGACTGTTGCAGCAGATTGATGCTCTGTATGTTTACAACAGAATATAAGTGTTAGACCTTTCTAATACTTTGGGATCTGTTAAGTAGAGCTACTGCAGGTTTAGAAGTATTTATTTAGTGTAAGACGCATGTATGTTTTGACATCTATCGTGTTGTAAGATTTGTTGACAAGGATTACCAATTCTTCTGACTCCAGTTTAGGATGATAGAAGTGGCTAGCTTTAGCAATGGCATTCTTAACATTCCTTGCAAATACTGTAGTATCTCAGTCCATATATTGGTGTTCTTTATTGTTGTTGTTGTAAGGCTGGAACTTATTCTAGGGGGGTTGTTTCACATTATCATACATATGAAAACAGGATAGCCATGGGGCAGCTCTGTTTTTGAAAACCCCCCTCTGGGTTATATCAGACTTGTATGTTTCATTCATTGTTTCAATCTTTGAAGTTTAATGTGGCAACTGTTGATTTTTATTAATTAAAAAAATGAAAATATCTCAGCTAGCCTGGATAGCTTGTACGGTAATCGGTTTTGACTATATTTTGATAGGGATTAAATATAAATCTCCCAGTATTATTGTATGCAGTATACAATACAGGAAAATCTCCATAATTTGGTTAGTTTTAGAAATTCATACCCTCAAAATTTGCATGAACAGAAACCCTAAAAATGAACAACGAATTAAATGTAAAAAATATGGATGTGTTCCACGACTTATAACTACCCCAGAATAATTTCTGCCATTATCTCATGACATTTAAACAATAATCACCAAATGAAAAAATATTAATCATAAAATACCCAACAGCTGCCATCAGGTAATCGTGGCTAACTTACACAAGTGTGGAAAATGTTGACGATGATGATGAAAATGACATTAAATAAAAATAAAAATATTTCTCATATTAAATAAAAATAAAAATATTTTTCATAAAAGACATAAGCTGAAGCTGAAGCCCTGACACTGTACTGGCATATGTATAATGCTGTATTCTGATCCTGAAGTTGTATTTGACCGCGTGGTATCTCTCCACACCGAACCCTTCACCAGTCCACCCACACAACTCTTTTACTATGGCTAATAATTAATTAATTCATTAAAAATATATTATCGATGTGCATGTAACGATTAATGATTTTTTTTTTTCAATTGTATTAGAGTAAAGGTATTAGAAAACCATACGTAAGTAAAAGTATTAAAAATTTTTATTACTTTTAAAATGTAAATACACTACCCAAAAATGTTACTTGAGTACAATACTCAAGTAAAGCGTGTTATGTTTTGAGTTGTGATTTTGTTTTGATTGGCTGAAACAAAACAAACAACTGTGGTGATGCTTTCTTGTTGGATTCCATTATTTTTCTTCTGGTAAGCTTTATGAGAGCATCATAGAAAGATGAATACTGTACTATATTTAAGATGGACATTTATGAATTAATATTTCTTCTAAGTTACTTTTTGACTTCTTGTAAACTTTCTAATTACAATGATGAAACTTTATTGTTACATATTTTTGACCAAGTTTTTTGACAAGGTAACAAGCAAATTTTATCTTCATTCCATCAGATACTCACTTGAAAGTGGAGGAAATAAAATTATCAACTGGAATTGATGAGATATCAAAAAGTGAATACGACTCACAAGATATTGAAGAGGTCACTAGCAGCAAGAGAAAGGAGAAAAAAGAACAACAAAGAAAATTTAGTTGATGTAGAAATTGAGGATGAGGAAAGCCTTATTCATGACTTACAAGCTCAGAAGCTTCTTCAGCTTTTAGATGAGAGTGAGAATTATAGAGATACTACAGATGAATCATCTACAAAGAAAGAAAGCAGTGATGTAGAACAAGAGGTAAGGTCTATAGGGACCTGCATGACTATCACTAACTGGATTTTCTGTATTCCTGTTATTCATGTTAAATGCACATCTCTTCGTATTTGTAGTAAAGGCAGTCTTCCAATTGCATAAGTTTGATATAGGAAAATTTAAGTTTAATTTTTTTCCCACTTTGATTTACTAAAGAAAAATCCAAAGTTAAAAAAACAGAACAATTACTAATGTAATTTTTTCCTTAATAATAATGAGAATATGTTTACAGTACTTACAGGGTATTTTACTAATTTACTTCATTATTCTCTAATATTGGCATTGTTATTAACACACTCAGCCTTGCACGACGCCATTGTGGCGTCGAATATAAAAGGCGAAAAACCTTCCAGCCTAGCAACGCCAACATGGTGCCCAATGGGCAAAATTTTCAAATAACTCAAAACTATTCAGTGAAACTGATTGAACTTTGGACGCATTTGACAGACGTCGTTTTCTTTGTATGGGCCTTATCACCTTCCCTGAGATGGTCTTGGTCATCGTGTGCGTGGCAGCGCAGCTTGAAGCCAGTGTCACTCTTGCCATTAGAGCGAGAGAAGGGTGCGCCGCTCGGCCCTTTAATTATGCCATGAGTTTTTGTGTTATATTATTTTTCCATACAAACGATATTCTACATGCTTTGTTCTTTATTTTGGTATATACAGTATTACCCCGCCTAACGCGGTTTTTCTTAGCGCGGTTTACCATATAAGCGGTGCCTCGCAGAGCTGAACTTTCACTTAACGCTGGTTTCCACATATATGTGAGTGTCCGCCTCGAGAGCTATTTTTAGATTCGCCCCACCCGCCACCCTGCCTGACTGCCTGTTTTAGCTCATAAAATTCATAAAAATTACCCAGCCAGAATATAATTTACATTGCTGGAATTTTTACAATATGATGATCATTTTGAATATAAACATCATAGATTTTGCATTAGACATACAAATTTTAGATATAAAGTTTATTCTGAGTAAATATGTTATTTTTTGTGCAAAATATATGACATTTGTATTCAAAATATTCCTGGGCTTTCAAGGAATCCAGCAATGTCAATTATATTATCCTAACTTTAGTTTGAGGTATTATTTATTACTAAAGGTAAATATTCTGGTTTTCCCACCATCTGGTGAGACGGCTGGTGGGGGTGGGAGGAGGGAGGAACCGACCGACCATCTGTTAATGAAGAATATTTTTTTATTAACTGAAGATATTTGTTTTAGCTCATAAAATTCATACAAATTACCGGTCAGAATATAATTTACATTGCTGGAATTCTTATAATTTGATGATCATTTTGAATATAAACATCATAGATTTTGCATTAGACATACAAATTTTAGATGTAATGTTTACTCTTGAGTAAATATGTTATCTTTTATTGCAAAATATATGACATTTATATTCAAAATATTCCTATCTTACAAGGAATCCAGCAATGTCAATTATATTATCCTAACTTTAATCTGAGGTATTATTTAATACTAAATGTTAAAAACTCTTGAAGGAGGATTGGTAGGGGGGTGGGGAGGGTTGGGACTGACTGGTGGTTGGAAGAGGGAAGGCAAGGTGGGGTACTTTGATTGACAGATAGTGTCGTGAAGAATATTTTTTTATTAAATGAAGATATTTGTTTTAGCTCATAAAATTCATACAAATTATCCGGCAGAATATAATTTACATTGCTGGAATTCTTACAATTTGGTGATCATTTTGAATATAAACATCATAGATTTTGCATTAGACATACAAATTTTAGATGTAAAGTTTATTCTGAGTAAATATATTTATCTTTTGTGAAAAATATATGACATTTGTATTCAAAATATTCCTGGTCTTACAAGATCAGCAATGTCAATTATATTATCCTAACTTTAGTTTGGAAATTATTTATTACTATACCTGGTTTTCCCCAAAATTTCTCAGAGGAAAGAGCCAGCGAGGTGTAGTGTGAGAAGAGGGGAGAGTCGAGTCATTATTTGAATGGACATTAACTGGCGACTGTATTTCTCTATTTCTCTTAAGTATTAATCGTGTGCATGTACCATCATAAAATTAAGATGTTATTTTTACTAGAACATAGGTATTGTGTCTGAAAAAGTGGGTTGGGGATGGGCCAGTTTCTTGTGGAATTAATCCCATATGTTCTGTTGTTCACTTAACGCGGTTTTCACTTAACACGGTACCCTGTGGGTACACAGAATGCCAAATCCACCGAACATTGCCCGTTAAAGTACCTGTAAAAGAGAGAGAGTGAAGCAACATTGTGTGTTTATTATGTAGATCTGCTATTTCCAGTTATGAAAACAATAATGTTAAGTGTGTGTGTTTCCCAGATGTCAGAGCCGTATCTAACAGAGGTAGATGAATTGGAAGAGGAGGAGGAGGATGATAGTGATGATGATGATGATGATGACGATGATGATGTAGAGGAATTAGAGGCAATGAGACAAGCATCAAAATCAACAAAACGAGATCATTTTTCAAAGCTCCGGCGACGACTGAGGCAACTTGGGAAAATGTTTATGAATCAGGTAATGTTTACATCTTACATGTATAATCTATTGTTGCGTCTTCCATGGGTTAAGTTAATAATGTCACTGTTATATCTCAGTCTCTCCATCTTACTACATTCCCAACAAAGTGAAGTAGAATAAGTACACTGAGCCTCACAAGATCTAAAAATTTGTCAATAAGTTACTGTCAGCGAAACACATGAATTGAAATTCATTCATTGTGCTGATTCTTTGTAAATACTGTATTTCAACTTTTTCATTTTGTTTATACAATATTTTATAATTGCAGGAAGTAGATGGTGAAAGGAAAGGAGAAAAGAATAAAATTGAAGAGCTTCAGCACATGGTTGACTCTCTTAAAGATGGGCATATCAAACAGTTGGAGCAAGAGGTTAAAGAATGGACAAAGAAGTTACTAAGTAAGGTAGGTGAATTTATGGCAATATCAATTACTGACATAATGTATTCTCACTTTACCCTCATTTGAAGCATTAGCCATTCACTTATCCCAGTGTTATATAAGATATAGTACTATATATCTAAAGGTTGATCATATTTTATAGGATATATTCCTTGAAATGGATGAAGAGGATCTGGAGGAGGAAGAGCAGAGGTTAGGGTCAGCCCTTTCATCTTTGATGGATGCTCTTGATGAGGCTGAGAACAAGTTGTCCACTGTAAGTACAGGTGGCCCTTGCTTTATGCAGGGGATTTAAAAAAATTCATAAAGTGTTTTTGTATAGGGAGGGTTAATTTTTAACATGTATTTAGTAGGAATGCATGTCAGGCCCTTTACTGACCTCCAAAAATAGCTTTCAAATGGGGTTGTATATTATAAATATGAAGATGCACAAAAAATGCCAAATCCACCGAACATTGCCCGTTAAAGTACCTGTAAAGAGAGAGTGAAGCATTATTGTGTGATTATTATGTAGGTCTGCTATTTCCAGTTATGAAAACAATAATGTTAAGTGTGTGTGTTTCCCATTTTATAGGTTGAGCAGTGCTTTCCTTGCTTCTTAATGATACATGCCACTGGTTGGACAGCATTGCACTAGTCGGTAGTAATGGTAAATACATACACTTCAAGATGAGATGGAGTAGTGTAGGTTTACACACAACAATGGACAATTCAACATTGAGTGAGGAAGCACATGTGCTGCTTCATAGCTTCTCACTCACTGCTCTGCCTGCTCTGCTCCTACAATGCCACATAACCTCCACTGTATAGAGGACTCCATGTGCACTTACATTAATCACATAAGCTTTGCACATCAACAGGTAGTAGGTAGAAGGCAACTATCAAACAGGAAGGTACTACTGCCTGGGAAGGTATTGGAAGCATAATGTGTTGTTTAATGATTGACCCTTCTTATATGGCATCACAAAAATTGTGATCAAGTCCCAGGTTGCTGATCTGACTTTTGCCTCTTTTGCACACAATTGCAGGGTCTCAATTGTTTCTCTTTCTTTGGCAACACAACATATATATTGTTTCTCACTCTTTGATTTGTTTAATTTTTTCCATTTCTGTATTTATTTATTGTTTTTTTCGCCCCACAGGCCCCAAGTTCCGTATGTTTTTCTCCTCTTATCAGTTTACTATCCGTTCAGGAAGTTGGTTTTATCAGTGTTAGTAAAGCTTTGTCCATTTCATACACTTGAAAGATCAATGATAAACTGCATACATATTTTTGTTTGCTCCACAGAACCCAGCATCATCTATCAACACACATTTCCCCCAAAATCAATTGACACCATGCTGTCCACTCATTTAGGCATACTGCTGGCTCCTGGACATCAGTCCCTCTCACTTTTACAGTCTCTTCCCTGTATCCCATGGTCTTTCCCCTCCCTTTTATCATTGAGAGGTTGATTGGAGGTGACAGAAATGACATACTTAATAGCAATATGTGGGGTAAAGAGGCTGCAGAGAATAAGAAATACCTAAATTAAAAGATGTGGAAGTGAAGGAAGGGTCAGACAGCTGACCAGTGTTTGCTAAGGTGGTCTCAACAACCTGAGAAAATGAATAGTGGTAAAAATTAATGCATAATACAGAGGTGGGTGGCAGGAAGGAAAAGAAGACCAAGAAGATGGAAGGTCTGGGTAAAGGACACAATGGAATTGAGGGCGATGGGCATCCAAGAATAAGGGTGCATGTAAATTAACAGTGAATAGTTTTGGAGGATGGATGTTGTGATATGTGATGCTGGGTTGTAAAAAGTGGCAGATTTAAGGGCTTTTTATGGAAGATAAATACTATAACAGTCTTTTAGTAAAATTCATGTGTTACAGCAGTAGCTAGTGAGTGACCAAATAAAAATTTAATATTTATTTACTCTCTTTTCTGGGCACCTTGTATTATAGCAGGAAAATACATGAAAACATGAAGAAAAACAAAATATTTTTATTCACCTCACTCCATTCTCAACTAAATGGGTTGGAACAGGTACACTTAGTTTCATAAACAGCTATAAAGTTGTATGTCCACTGCTCATCTTAAGTAAGACAGATTGATCCAAGAACTTGTAGCTGGAATGTTTCAAAAGAATTAATTTTGTAAGTAAATCTTATTGATCTCTGATTTCAATTTTGAATTAATTTCAGGCTATGAAAGGGATGGAAACACTGGGTGAATTTCTTGACAGTCGACTAAAAGAAATGGAAAGCTCAGCAGATGAGAGTCAAGATTCTGCTTCAGAGGAGCCCACCCAACAGGATGGGGTTGACAGGGACTCCCAGGACCCCATAGAAGGGATGTCCCAGGCCCCACAGAATCCAGAGGATCCTGTAGAAGGTACATCATTGCGGACCACTGATATTACTCCATCCCATGTGGATGAGAGGGAACCCATAACTCCCTCTGTCACTATTGACTCCTCTGATTCCTCGGCATCTGCTTCATTAACCTCAGCCTCCTCTTCCTCAAAGACAGTTTCATCTGCCCCCTCCTCTTCAAAGTCAGTTTTCTCTGCCTCCTCTTCAAATACTGATTCCTCTGTCTCTTCTTCTCCCTACATTTTATCTTCCTCTTCAGCTTTAGACCGTACTTCAACTTCTGTGCAAAATCCTTCACCTTTTTCAGGTAATATTAATTCTCAATCAGCTACATCAACTTCCTCATCAGTACCATCCTCAAGGACATCTCCAGATAGCTTCTCCTTTTCTAAATCTTCATCATTTTCTGCTGGTGTCTCTACTGATTCACATGTTCATCTCACAACAAATCAGGAAAAACACGTAAAACGCAGTCAGCGAAAACTGCCACGCACTAATATGAGCCCTGGAGCAGAGCAAGGTAGATTCCATTTGTTGTATCCCTATCTATGCATGAAATCTTTTTCTTTAATGGACATCAGCTTCTGTTAGTGTACTATATATATATATATATATATATATATATATATATATATATATATATATATATATATATATATATATATATATATATATATATATATATATATATATATATATATATATATATATATATATATATATATATATATATACATATATATATATATATATATATATATATATATATATATATATATATATATATATATATATATATATATATATATATATATATATATATATATATATATATATGCTGATAACCTAGATCCGCACCTACTATTCTATCATATATATATATATATATATATATATATATATATATATATATATATATATATATATATATATATATATATATATATATATATATATATATTCTATCAATGTTTTATTTTTTACTTGAATTTTAGAGATTTTTTGCCAAGGTAAAATGTAATAAGCATCATGGAGTACAGTACTGTTCAATAGTGAGAGTAACCTTTAAAAAATTTATTTGAGTATGGTACAGGTACTAATTTTTCTTTATGCTTGAAAGATTATTGCCTTCTTATTTCATTTCCTGCTAATGTCATCTGAATTGGGCTCCAACTAAGTCACTTCAGATTAAAAACTGTACATATGCTTTGGCTTTGTGTGATGTGCTGTATTATATGGGAATGATTTTGTTACCTGTAAGCTCTGCATCTACTTAGAAATAAAGACAATATAATATAAAACAAAGAAATACAAAAAATTAAGAGTATGGGTGTGTATGTGTGGGAAATGAATGTGTGGATTGAGGTAGTGACCTGTAACTGCGGCCAGCCGCACTTTCCCTCCCCCCTATGTGACGTCACAGTATACAGCACATCAGCCATGCGCATCTCTTGCGTCAGCTGTGTCACTGCCTGGTTGAACTGTGTCGCGTATATACTGTACAGGTATATCAGTAAATATGTGGAATAAATGAAAATAATAATTTGGTGTTGAATAATAACCATAACATAGGTCACAGCTGGCATGAAGAAATGTTTATTCCCTTTATGATTTTAACCTTATGATAGTTATTTCTATTTTTTTTTTTTTTGGCACCTCTTGTATGAAAGATTGTATGTACATGTATCATTAAACGAGGGTTAACGAGGAATAATATCCATGGAGATGGCATGTTGCCATTGTTACATGTAATCAAACTATAAATGTTGTGAAATAATCATTACAGTAATCTAATGTGGTATGAAATAAAAGAAATATAATATAAAACTATAAAATAAAGAGAAATTAAGAGCATGGGCGTGTATGTGTGGCAAGCCCACACGGCATGTGGACTGTAACTGTGTCGCCAACTTGTCACCCAGTAGCACTCAGAGCGGATGAGGCTGAGCTGTGTAGGTTATGGTTATTCTTCAGTTCCAAATTTCAGGTACCGTATATACTGTACAGGCAGTCCCTGAGCTACGAATGGTTTATGTTCCTGGAGCTTGTTTGTAAGTCAAAATAGTGTCAATTCAATAGGTTAGGTTAGGTTAAAGCATAACCCTGCCCTTACAAAACAACTGATGGTCAGTGTCGGTGGAGACTGCGATGAAGTGTATACACTAATGTGTATCATTTTTGCTCTTGTTATTCATTAATTATTGCTTTTATATGCTTTCATTATTACTGTTTATATGCCTACAATTTTAAGTTCTAATGTATACACACACACGGTATATTATTATTTTATTTTTTAAGTATAGCATACGCTTCTTTTACCTTAAAGTGAATATTATAGGGCTAGGGTCAAGCTCTTTACAACCATGTGGTTTTTCAAGCACTCAAAAACCTTATGGGTGGAGAGTGAAGATTGTGATAAAGTACTCATCATAAATACATTAAAATAGAACAAGAGTAAATATAAATATATAGAATGTGGGAGGATTTTAACTCTTTTTGCTACAGTATTGTTTATCTCACTCCAGAAATTAGTCGCATGTTCCCATTGCAGAAAAAAGGACACTGGCTCAAAAGTCAGCAATACCTTCTCTCTGCAAGAGGAGGGAGGGTTGGACATGGGTGTAGCTTGCATGTACAGTATACCCCCTAAACTATACACAACCTAGAACACTGACTGATTGACATAAGGATGCTCCCGGGTGCAACTGAGCATCTTCTGGTGGCAAAAATAATGGGGGGAGGGAGGGGGGGTGCTTGTATAGAAAAGTGCAGGCTAAGAATTACCAACAGCAAGTAAGGCCCCTTACCTAGCTACTTGGGTTGGTAAAGAATAATACCTGTGCAGTGAACTTTATTTGGTGAAGTGATGCAGGCTTAAGTAGAGTTCTGTGGTCCAAAGTAAATTGCATGCGACATGTGAAATTTGCACGACAGGAAAAAAAAGCCTATCAGCAAAAATACAAGCTCATGTTGAAAAGTGTTAAAATTTATAAGTTTCTGATAATTGAAAATATGTATAGTAGGAGTGCATATAGTGAGGACTGCGTGTACGTACTTGATATTTTAGGCTCATAGTCCCAAGATCATCCTAGAATCATTTAAATGGTAAATTAGTTTTAATAACTTTAGCATCTCTAATGTTTTCAGCTACATACTGTATAAAAGCACTTAAGCTTAAAATTTCTTTTACGAACAGAGACCAGTTCTATGCAGTCAAAGAAGAATGTTGACAAAGTAAGTACTGTAATTTAAGTATTATTAATGATGAGAATAGGTAGGTTTTATTTTATAACATAATAAAACAGTAGAATGTTTCTAGTTCCCCAGTTGGTTTACTTTACAAAATGGCTTAGTTAGTGTCAGTACAATTTCACATATTTTGCATTCTTCACTGAAAATTAAAATAAAAACTATATTAGTTACAGTACAGTACGTATATAGAAAATTTGTCTTCATATTAGTAATGGTGTACCCTGATAACTGTGGCTTATAGGGACCGGGAAAAGTCGTTGGTTAGTGAATCAACGGTTATCGAATTAATTAATCCCATAAGAACATGACAAATTCAGGGGGTTGGGGGACTGGCCGCCCTCCAAAAACTCCCCTCTACCCTTGATATACTGTAATATCTTTGCAGTGCACACTGTCAAACTAGAAAATAAAGCAGACATATAAAGCAAGCATAAGCCTTAAATAAGTAGTGTAAAGCATAAATTGAGACTGTTATTTACCTGTGTTAAGGATGGTATATTAAGGCATAATAAGAGTGGCGATGGATCAGCAAAGATTGATAGAGACTTGAACTTGCCACTCTAGACCATCTCTACCATCCTTAACACAGGTAAATAACAGTCTCAATTTATGCTTTACATTCCTTATTTAATGCTTATTATGCTTGCTTTATATGTCTGCTTTATTTTCTTGCATGACAGTGCACGACAGAGATATACCAACGGTAGATGGGAGTTTTTGGGGGTGGCCAGTCCCCAACCCCCAGAATTTATTATATTCTTATGGGATTGATTGCTTCGATAACTGTTGATTCACTAACCAACAACTTTTCACAGTTTCTATATGTGTTGGTTATTGGGGTATGCCGGTACACAACTTCTATTCCAATAGAATGCTTTTGCCAAGTCTCAGAATATTTATGAAAACTGTTAGTGGAGTTGGTTTCACAAGTAAGCATTATAGTGTATGACAGGCTGATAGACAGGAAGATGGATGGAATGAATGACAGAAAGATAGATGAATACTGTAGACAAAAGGGCAGGAGAAACACCTTACGCCTGTGTTAGAGTGTGTATATTTGGTTTTTATCATATGTATATGTAACTACTGTGCTGTACTCCATTTAAACTGATATATTATTTTATCTGAGTTTTATTTCAATACTTAGGTAAGTGGCAGCAGTCGACAATTGCGTATTGTGAAGCACAAAATGGAAGATGAATCTCATAAGACAAAATTGGAGCAGAAAATCAAAGATCGACTTCAAAAACTAGGCCTTGAGAAAATTGGTAAGGATATTGTTACTCAGTTCAGTTGAGTCTTAGTATTTTGCACTTCAGTACAGTATACAGTATAGTGTATCTAAAAAAAAAAAAATGCAGGAAAAATCAGCTTAGTGTTGTTGTCATATCTGTGCACCAAATTGTCCCCCTGCAAAATTTTTTATTTAAATTGGTGGGGGTTATGTGACTCAAGAAAAACACCCTTGTACTGGGTGTAAATGAGTTTTGGAAGGCAAGAATTCTGTAAAATGGAATTTTGACAGAAAAAACATAGACCATCCCAGATGTCTTTATTGATCAATAGGGTGTGTGGTGGGTGGCAGTATTAAGTGTGGCTTGTCAAAATACTGACTTTACAAATACAGTAACTTTTGAATAGGGAAAATTATGAGATATCACTTAAGAATATGCAATGCTGGAAGTAGTTAGGTAGGGTCATTATAGCTTATTGTTTTGTTAGTTACTTTCTGCATCAAATTTTGGTGGTGAAGTACCCCCAACACCACCCCTAGCCCACAGATAACAATATTCTATTTGGAGACATACATGGCATACATAAATGGTTACCTCCTTTTCATCAGGACAGTAGGACCCGACTCTTAAGCTTAAATCCAAGCTCCATTGAAAGAGTTCTGGTTGCAAGTCTGACAAATCTTGCCACGGTGAGATTTGAAATAAATGCTATTCCTGTACCTAAAATCTCAGTGCTGTGTGATGATGGGAAACATCCAACAGCAATGTTTATATTTAATTATAATATTGTTTTCTGTATAATCTGGCATGCCTTTGATAATAACTGTATAAAAGGTTTATTATGAAGTATTTATTTCATATAAGGCTACTACAGTTATACCTTTATGAGGATAAGCATTTTGTAAAAGTGAAAAATTGAACCATTAAGAAAATCTGTCATGATCTGGTATGGAACAGTTATTACAGGAACTTGACTTCAACATCCACCTGGTCTATAATATAATTATACTGCATACTGGTATTAAGGTTTTGTATATATCATTACTTAGGTACAAACAGTTGTAGACTATTCAGTTGGTTGTGTTATGCAAAATTTACTAACATAATACCCTTTGTCCTGAGTATTGTGAAATACTGAGACTTTCCTGCAAACAGTTCATTTCTTGCTTGTATCAGTGTACAGCATACTGTAGTATACTGTAGTGTTAATCTTAGAAGGGTAATTGAATATGTGTAAATATTTTACCATAATAATTTTTTTAGTTTTGCTACAAAAAAATGGATATTATTGAAGAAAATCAGACAAATTTTTGAAGATGAAATAACAGAATTTTCAATATTTTGGCTGATTATACATATTGAATTCGGAGAGCTGCAATGTTTTATTTGTTACTGACTGTTGTGTCTGAACTCTGCAATAAAATATAGCTGGCCTCGATTTAAATTTAATTACAGGAAGACATAATGACCAAGAAAAAAAATGTGCTAGGCAGGCAGGCTCTGACATTAGAAGTGTGGATTTTTTCCATGTTTAATGTTTATCGTCTCTATCATTCTCTCCATTTATTTTTAAATTCTGTGTCATTTTCATCATTGTCTTCACTTTGAACATCACTCAGATATTCAAACAAACCATAATAATTATCTGGTGGTGAGCTGTCTAGGTTGTAACTTGTCTTGTATTATTCACAAGACAAGAGACGACAAAAATTATGATTCTAATGGGTCACTGAACCTGAGCCAGGCCTGTATTACTTCGATATTGTAGATTACCTGACTAAACTTTGATTCTACTCACGTTACATATGATTTTTTTTTTTTCAAAGTAAATTTTTAACTTCGTACTAAAATTTGTGTACAGTATTACCGCGCTTTACGCGGTTTCACTTTCCGCGATTTCTCATTTACGCGGTGCCTCGCCAGAACCGAACTTTCACTTTCCGCGGTGCATCTACTCATATACGCGGGAAGCGGCGCGGGCAGGATGCGCACAAGGTCGCCCAGTCTTCAAAACATTACCGAGTTCTTCACCCGCCACCCACCACAGCCGGCCTAAGTCAGTGATAGTGATAGTGAGGATATAGACTTATATGGACTTTGAGGGGTTTGACAAAGAGGCCCTGCAAGCCTATGTGGTGGATAGTGATACAATTGATACAAGTGATACAGGTGAGGGCCAATAATCTGCCCTCTGCCTCAGAACCAACCCCCCATCCCTGTGTGCCCAGCCATCTTTTCTACTAAAGTAAGTGTTAAAAAAACTAATATTATTGATATTTCTCTTAATTATTAATGGTGTGTGCATACCATCATAAAGTTAAGATAATATTTTTACTACAACATAGTTGTGTGTCGTCAAAAAGTGGAGTTTGGGGGTCGGGCCAGTCTCTATTGGAATTAATCCCATATGTTCTGTTGTTCACTTTACGCGGTTTTCACTTTACGCGGTACCCTGTGGGTTCAATTGACCGCATAAATCGGGGTACTACTGTATGTATCAAGATAGTACTGTAATATGATAAATAAACCTAAATAAACCTTGGTATATTACTATAAACTAGTAAAAAAAAAAGGCAGATTTGACTTGAAATAATACAAATCGTAGACAAATTTGAAATTTCTGTCAGTGGGCCTGGCTGGTTGCCAAAAAGTAACTTCATGAGCAAAAAAAGTTATTGTGATATGAAGGGTATGAATGTCATTTGGAAAGCATTGTTTTGGGGTGCACAAATGCTTTGAGAAAAATTTTAATGTTTTGTTAACTAAATAGAAATTTTTTATGTTGTATCTATCAAACTAGTGTACTGAACTGACACAAGGTTTATATCTTAAATTGTGCTGAATAGCAGAGGTGCACTAATTACCAGTACTATACTACTAATATCAGTTGGAATGCATGTGCTTGACCAGTATAACAACCGGTACAGTATATAAAAAAAAATAACAACCAGTATGGTTTACGAGTACTAGTTCATACCACCTCAACTCAAAACTTGAGGAGGCAGTGTGACCAGCATTGCACTTGACCACCACCACCTCCACCACCACCACCTTTCCCATCTGTAAACATAGATACAGGGGTACTGTACAAACCTTCAACCCTTAGGACAGGAGGTGAGCACTGTATTCTATCAGTTGCCACATCCCATACAATTAAGTAAATAGTAAGTAGCACTCTAGCGGTTTGAAGAATCACAACTGCTCAGATAAGTTCATACATGTGTGAATGTATTAACACTTTCAAAGTGAATAAATTTCCTTTTACAATTTTGATACTTTATGTGTATTTCTATCATTTGAAATTACAGTAATGTATAAACTTCTTACAGGCAGAAAATTTGAGGTGAAGATTTTAACCCCAAATTCCCTTGAAGATGAAGATACAAACAACCCTCTGCTGTCCCAAGAAGAAACTGAGGCCTTCCAAAATATGATTGTCAATCTTTTGGTAAGTTAATATGAACTCTTTCACTCTACACTAAAACAACTCTTCTTAATGTTCTATGGAATTTTTTGTCTCCTCATATACAGAAGACTTTTTTTTCCTTAAGCAGTTCTTCTTTAGCATCTTTTTCTTACTGTTCTTTGCGGAAAATCCAACTTAGACAAGTCCTACTTATGTGAGTTGCAACTATGACTATTACACTGTAATGATAATAAAATAATAATAATAACGATAATAATAACAATACAGTACATTACTTTATCTTCTCATGTACACTAAATCTTTATACTGTACTGTATAAGTTTTTGTTCCCACCGCATTGTGTTTTGTGCTCTTTATGCACGCAGAAACTTTTGTTTTTATTTATTTTATTATTTTTTTCAAGCTCCTGTATTGAGACCAAGGAATTGTTATTTTTGCATGAATATGCCACTTGTGGTTTCAGAATAGCTTGGGCTTTCATATAAGGTTAAAAAAATAAGAAAAAATTAACTACAGTACCCCTGTACTGTACTATATAAAACATTGATCTTGACTCTGAATGCAAAACAAAAATCCAAAACCATCTTCCCCACTTCCTAGCTTATAATTTTTCCTGGGCCAAAACTGTGTGTTATACTGAAAATCACGATATGCAGAAAATTACAAGGTTTCCAATGATACAATTTGATTTTGCTACAAGTAACAATTTTGCTGTAAATTGCGAATAACTGAGCTAAAAGCAATTTATTTTCGTACATATGTTATGAATATTATCAAATTGTACAGGTAGTAGGTAGCTACCAAACAGGGAGGTACTACCGCCTGGGAAGACATTGGAAGCATAATGTGTTGTCTAATGGTAGACCCTGCTGCCATATGGCATCACAAAAATTTTGACCAAGTCCCAGGTTGCTGATCTGACTTTCTGCCTCATTCACACATAATTGCAGGATCTCAATTGTTTCTCTTACCATTGACAACACAAGGTACAGTGCATATATTGTCTCACTCTTGATCATTTTTTTTATTTCTTTATGGTTCTTTAATATTATTATTATTATTATAATTGCAGTGTTATTATTACAGTTGTACCCCACTTAACGCGGTCAATTGAACCCAGAGGGTCCCGCGTTAAGTGAAAACCGTGTTAAGTGAATAACAGAACATATGGGATTAATTCCAATAGAACCCAGCCCGACCCCCAAACTCCACTTTTTGACGACAAATAACTATGTTGTAGTAAAAATTCTATCTTAACTTTATGGTGGCATGAAAAACAAGTAATATAGAAGAGGTTAGGTTAGGAAAGATAAAGGTTAACATAGGAAAAATAAAGAATAGGTTAAAAAACGAAAATTTTTAAGGAACACTTACGGTAGTAGAAGAGATGGGTCGGCATACGGGGATGGAGGCTGGTTCCGAGGCAGAGGGCAGATTACTGCCCCTCAGGTGAATCACCATTACTAGGTGAATCACCATTACTAGGTGAATCAATATCACTGTCACTTACAGTTGTCATGGCTTCCCTGACAAATCCCTCAAAATCAACTTCACTATCACTATCACTGGCTTGGGCTGGCTGTGGTGGGTTGCGGGCGAAGAACTCGGTTATGCTTTGCTGACGGCTGGCTTTGATGTTGTCATGATACACCGTGATGTACGGCTCCATAGCCTGCACCAGTCGGGTATGGAAGACGTCATGGCGTTCATCGTCAGTGTCGCGGGAAACGATGGACTTAATTTTTTCTGTTAACTCTATGAGACACTTAATATCACTATGACTTAAACTAGGTTCTTCGGAGAATGACGCACCTTCTTCCTCCTCTTCACTGGCGGGTTCTTCTTCCAACATCTCGTCGGCAGTCACTTCAGGATCTCTGATCACCTCCATGATGTCTTCGTTGGTGGTCTCGGAGAAGCCTTCAGCTGTAATACTGAGCGCAGCTTCTCTGGCAAGGTCCACTGCTACTGCAACAGTCTGAACCTGACCAGTCACAGGTTCACTCCTCCTCTCACCTGGTATGCCATGCAACACATGTCTCCATGCGTGACGAATCGTAGCAATAGTCAGCAGATCCCATGCCTCCACCAAGAAGTCTACAGCTTGTTTGACGTTAAACTTCTTCCAAAATTGTTTGACGAGAAGTTCTTGAGTCGCCGCCTCTTGTTCCTTGTCCTCGTCGCTTTTACTCTCGCTGTCGGTGTCACCCAGCTTACGCAACTCATCCTTGGTGTTGGTAGAGTCGTTCAGGAGCTTGAATTTCTTTGCCGAGTATGCAGCTTTAACGTTGCAGATTAACTCCTGGTCCATAGGCTGGATTAATGACGTAGTGTTGGGAGGAAGGAAGACCACTTTTACGTTGGGGTGACGATCCATAAGTAGGGGCGAGTGTCCAGGTGCGTTGTCAAGGAGCAACAAAATATTGAAAGGAACATTCTGTTGCTCGCAGAATTTCTGCACGTCAGGAACAAAACAGTTGTCAAACCAGAAGAGGGACAGAGAAGAGGACATCCACGCCTTACGTGCGGTTAGCCAGTGGACATTAAGCTTGTTCATGTCCATATTCTTGTAGGCGTGCGGCTTGCGGGCTTTGTGAATCACCGATAACTTTGGTTTACAGGTACCGGAGGCATTGGTGGTAAACAGGACGGTGATGCGTTCCTTCTGCATCTTCCGGCCCCTTACCTTGCTCGCAGACTGGACAACGAAGGTCTTGGAAGGTAACTTTTTCCAGAAAAGACCAGATTCGTCCATGTTAAACACCTGGTCGTCACTGTACTGTCCTTCCTCCATAATCTCACGTAAAAACGGAGGAAAATCTCTAGCCGCCGCACGGTCAGCACTCGCTTCCTCACCAACAATGCTGATGTTGGTGACCTTGTTCCTCCTCTTAAACCTATGCAGCCAACCATGGGAAGCATTGAAGGGTTTGGGCTCTGCAATTCCCAGTTTACGTGTCACTGCTGCGTATAGCTCACGTGCGTACTCCTGCACTGAGCGCGTGTCCACCGCCATGTTGCGTCGCGCCTGACGCACCAAATAACTCACCAGCAAAGTTTCCACTTTTGCCAGCACCCTGTTCTGGCAATACCTGATAGATGAAGCACCTGCAGACTTTGTGATCTTCATGTGCTCCTTTATCTTGGCTGCATCCTTCTTTATTGTACGAATCGTAGATTCGTTGACGCCATGCTGGCGCGCGAGATCAACTTGGCGTCTTCCTTTCTCCAAATCTTGAACAATTTGGTACTTCAGCTCGTAGCTTAATGAACGTCGTGTCTTCTTTGGTTTAGTGCCGCTGGGTCCAGGTAAGGAAAGGTTTCTCTCTGGGGGTGGTGGTCCGGCGGAAGCCATTTTACGGAACAATGGATGCGCGTTAACCCGGCGTGGCCTTGAGGGATGAAACTGCCGCGGCTAGGTCAAGCGTCGTCTCTCCTCCCTCCCTCCCTCCCCGGGGTAGTCACGTCATAATACTTTAAGCCAATTACAGCTAGCAGCAGAGGGGGGTAGGGCTGCATGGCCAATCACAGTCCGAGACGTCATATGACGTCAGTGATAACGCAACAAAGGCACACACTGCGCAACCTTACCGCGCCGCTTGCCCAAGCGGAGGGAGGAGGAAGGAGAGGCAGGCAGGCAGGCAGGAGGGCGGGCAGGCGGGTGGCGCGTGGTCAAAATCTAAAAATAGCATCCGAGCCGGACACTCACCGCGTATATGATGAAAAATGCCGCGTTAAGTGAAAGTTCAGCTTTGGCAAGGCACCGCGTATATGCGAAAACGCGTTAAGTGAAAGCGCGTTAAGCGGGGTAAAACTGTATTATTATTATTGTTAGTATTTTATTATTTTTTTTTTTTTTATTATAAATTTTAATTATCTGAATTATTATTATTATTATTATTATTATTATTTATTATTATTATTATTATTATTATTATTATTATTATTATTATTATTATTATTATTATTATTATTATTATTATTATTATTATTATTATTATTATTATCATTATCATTATCATTATTATTATTATTATTATTATTATTATTACTACATATTTGCCCCCAGGCCCTGATGTGGGTCAGTGACCTGTGCCCAGGAGGGCTAATCCCAGTAAAAAAATGAAATAAACTCGACAAACGATGGGGTTAGGTTCTTTAAAAACCCATCGCTAAGTGAAATATCTTAGATAGGGAGCATTATAACATAGGGTTCAATGGGATACTTTCCCAGCCAGTCCCCAAACACACATGTATCACCAACAAAAAAATTCTTACAATACTACTGTCAGTACAAAGCAATTAAACATCACTCACCACATCCTGAAGAATAAGCCTGGTCATCATCACATATTTCCTTCAAGGCTAAGGGGACTTTTGAAGGTGGAGTGGAGACGTCACTCTGACTACCACGCAACCTCTGGGGAGTCTTATACCGCTTCACAATGTCAAGCTTCGCTTCAGAGACACGGTTGTCTTAGATGCCTTGGCCATCCAAGACATTTTCAAAATTACACTGCTTACTTCACAGTCACAAAACAGAGTAAAAGCACTTGTCACAAAAACAGAGCGAACGAGTTAATGTAAAAACAATGTCAGCGGCCGTCACTTTTCACATTTTCACTAAAACACAGAAAATATCACTTCACAGTCACCATAACACAGTTCAATCTAAATGTTATTGCTGTTCTCTCACTATAAGAAAAAACCACCGATGATAAGCACAATGTACGATGCTGACTGATAATTATCGTGGAGCAATGCGATGACAGGTTTATGATTGACAAAGAACCAAGTGCATGGCTGCAGTGCACGGGTTGGCCGTGTGGGGGTGTGCGGGTAGGGCTGACAAGTGAAGCGAGAGATGCGTGGTGCATAGGGTTAAATATTGTTTCCTTATTAAAGGTCACTGACTTGACATGAAAAAATATAATTTAATTGCTGGAATCTTTGCAAGACAGTGATTAATTTGAGTGTATACAATCCATAATTGCACTAGAGATAAAATAAAATTTCTAACCAATGGATATTGATGGATATTTGATGTACAGTACAGGGGTCCCCGGGTTATGAACGGGTTCCATTTGGCAAACTTTTCACTACACACAGGACATGTGAGATAGCAAACAGCTGTGATCCCCCTTTACCCACTCCTCCCCCACTCTGCATGCTAAGTTCAACACATAAAGAAAGGATTTTTCCTTTCATGCTTTTTTTTTCTTCAATTCTGAATTAGTGATTGTGTGTGTGTGTAATAGAGTAAAAAAAAAAAAAAGTCCAGATATTGGACTTACTAAGGAGTGGCGTATCTAACTCTTAAGTGCCCATCAGTTCCACAGGAATGAGTCATTGTATACCCCATCAAACATTGTGAAAGTGAGATATGCAAAGCCCTTTTGATTTTGGTTTTATAATAATGTACGTATTTATTTTTAATATTTATTGACATTTATTGATCATTTAAGCTGTTTCTATATTGTAAAGGGTACATGATTTGTGGGAGTTCACGCAGTTGTTTAACATGGGTAGGGTTACTTTAGTATAGAAACCGGGTTTTATGTATATACGTATACTGTACAAGGGGACTCATATACTGTATACAGGAAATTCACTCTTGCACGAGGCTCCCAGAACGTAACCATCGCGTACTTTGAGACCCTACTGTATTTATTAAATAAATATATCCTGTCCTTTAAATGAAAATCCGTTGGCCGTGGCAGCTTTAAAAGAGGTATGATAGTACTGTGTACTGTATTTGTATTGCCTCTAACAGGCTGTCAGGCTTAGAGAACCCACTTTTACACATGCCATGGGTTCTGAGACCTGAGTTCTTAATCCCCTTGACTGTTGACTGTATATAATTTGTTTTATCTATGTTTGGCTGTAAAATGGTATATCAGGGTCAGTACTGTACTGTATTTTTTTCAAATTCTATTACAAGAATTTTTTTTTCAGAGTGCAAATGCAGAAGAATTAGAGGAAAGAGAAAACCACAGAAAATTAGAAAAAAATTATGGCTTCAAATGGGATGATAGTCAGTTTGCAGAGGATGAAGAGGAGTAAAGCTTGCAACTATGGTTATCTTAAGGTTGAGCTATTGTATTGTTTAAGAATAATAGTATGAAAACCTGTATAATAATTATTCAGGATTTGAAATGCAGCAGTTAATAGATAATGGTCCTATTAATGTGTGATGTATGATAGATAATGTAAATAAGATCACATTGTTTGATAAGAATATACCATATGTCAGAGCAACTTCCAAAATGTTCCTTTTATTGAATGTTTTCATTTTGTGGATTTTAGAATTGTTTTAATGCAGTATTGCTCTTTAGGTTGCTGTGACATATTTGCATGGCTGCTTTCATTTTGTTGTACATGTTTGAAAGCAAAAGTCCCATATCTTAAACAGGAACTTTGACTTGCCTGCTCAGAATACCAACAAAATTGAACTACATTAATATATAAATATACCTGTATACCACCTCTTTCATAAGAATAAGAAAGATTAATTCTTTTATACTATTTATATCTGTTTGAATTTGTGTAATTATTTTGCACAGTGGACTAATATATTATCAAATGACAACACATCATTACAAATAACAAGAAAAATATTAACTAAGTAAGAGCTATTTACAAGAACTGTGATAACTGGCTCTTGGTACATATCATGATATCATGAACTAAAAAGATAATGTGATTATCTCCTGGATAAAGTGTTTCCTTTTATTAATGCACATACTTGTCAAACATCGGTGTTTTTACACTCAGACATTTCAAATGATTTGCTTGTGCATGTAAGAAAAAAAGGAGTTAAAAGCAAGGTAGTCAGATACAGTAGTTTTAATGCGATTCACATCATTAATATCTTTTCAGACATGAAGTTATTATACTGTATTTATAGAATTGTATCCAAGTTAAAAAAATTTAAGTTGATCTGGTCAGCATCAACAACTGATTACCTCACTAATTACTTTCCATCTTTAAGAATGTGAAAATATCACTGAAGAAACATTCCAATGATGGAAATGCCAGTTATACACCTTAATTAGCATTGTATTTTGGGGGGGCATTTAATTATGGATGATTTCAAAAGAAAAGTATACAAATAATTTATTTTATATTTTGATTACAATACCTAGATAAAAAAATTGCAGCAATAATGTAATGGTGATGCACTCTTATGACCTAAGTTGTACAGTTTTTGTGAATAATCTTGTCTCTTTTGAAATAATTTTTCTGGAAAAGGAGGCAATGAGATATCAAAAGAACATTAACAAGGCAATGAGTTGTCAAATGAACATTAACAAAGTGTGAAAGCCTCACAAAAAGTACCATATTGCATAGGTAGTTTGGTTGTTGCCAATATTAAAAATACAATATGAGCTTATCTGTGAATCTTTATGACTATACAGTGGTCCCTCGGTTAACGAACACAATTCGTTCCAGAAGGTCGTTCGTTAACCGAAAATTTCGTTAACCGAATCCATTGTTTCAATGGGATATTGGGTAATTGGTTCCCGCTCACAGAAAAGTGCATACAAAGTAAAAAAAAATGCAGTAAAGTACACTTACTTTGAGGTGTGTATGTAGAAGGTTCCTGGTTGATGATGATGATGATGGGAATTAGAAGTGGGGTGGAGGAGAAGGGAGAAGTGAAGGAAGTGGGGATGGAGGAGAAATCACCTTTCAGGGAACCATGCTTGATGCCATCATTTCACCAATAAAATTTTAAGTTCACTAGGTGTAATTCAAGATTATTTTCATTAAATCAACTGCGCTATATATTATCAATATGTTAACTAAAGTTCAGAATGACCAATAATTTCAATGAAAAATGCAAAAATATTCAAGACACCAACAAAATAGATGCTCTCTCCACTGTAAACAAAGCCTCAACTGACACCTTGTGACTGACTCATGCATCTGATGGGCGCACAACAAACTAGTTCCCTGTACTGCATATATTATCAATATGTTAAATAAATGTTAAAATGACTAATAATTTTAATATAAAACATACAAAAATATTAAATAGCACAACTTTATTGATATTTACTCCATTGGAAATGAATGTAAACATAGAACAGATTACTGAATGGGTAGACTAGCCCATCAGCTGATCAGCTGATGCTCACAACAAAACATGATTTTCGTAAGGATTTCGTTAATAAAATTTTTGTTCGCTAACCGAATTGAAGATTCTTATGGAAGGTAATTCGTTAATCGAAATTTCGTTAACTGAACCGTTCGTTAACCGAGGGACCACTGTATAATGATTATGCTGAATTATGCAATTTTTATTGTCTTAGGTTAGTTTGGCCTTTGTACAATAGGTGAGAAAGATGTTTAATTGTAATGCTGTTGGGATCCAGTAAACATTTGAAATATTGTAAGATTTCCAAGTTACTATAACTGAATGTATTGTACTATGCTGCACCTCAGTACAGGTATCCCTCAATATACAATATGGTTGCGTTCCTAAGAAACCCTTAAGTTAATCGTGAGCCTTTTAATGTGGGTATTAATGGGATATGTTCCTGGCCAGGTTCAACACAGACATATAACACAGAAAAATCGATCTTACACTATTTAAATAAAAAACAAAATAAACAACACACAACATTAATAATAACAAGCCTGGTCATCATCATATGTCCCCTTTGAGGCTAAGGGAACTCTTGTTGATGGAATGGTGAATTCAATGACTCAGAGTCAGCAGAACACTTGCTAGCCATTTTCAAAGTTACAGAGTTACTGTACTTGTATACTGATCACTTCACAGTCACCAAAACAGAGCAAAATTTGAACGATGATGCTTTCATCTCACCAATATTGGAAAATTATCACAGCGATCACAGGTTATGCAGCGATTAATAACGAGAAGAGTTTGTTACATGAGCGAGGGAATATCTGATCATGTTGAAACAAAGTGCGGGACTGTAGTTTGCATGGTAACTGTGAGATGGCACTCAGGTAGTTGAAGTTGCGTGAAGGATGGAAAAGCAGTTTCTGCTCTTATTGGCCATCTTGGAATGACAAGTGAAGGGAAAGGTGCGCTTCTCAAGTGTTTACATTGTGTCAGCGAGTTTATCCTAACAATAACTATAGGCAACATGGATTTTGCCAAATGTAAATCGCGAGAGGATGTTAAAATTTAATTAACATTAACACGGATTACGTAAAATCTGTACATATGAAGTGGCGTGAGCTAGTCACTTGACATTTTTATTCTCAAGAAAATTAAACCTTTATAATGTACAGTAGGATATTTGTCTAATTCTTGGAGTTTATTTATTTTTCTTCTTTCTATGCAATATTAGATTTGAACAGCAAAAGCCTCTTCACTGACTGCAGGAAAGGTACTATAAATACCATAATAATAATAAGAGCGATATTCACTTTTCATATTACAGTACTGTATTGGGTACTGTACCAATAATATCATAGCTATTATATTTTATCAGGCTGTAATAATTATACAGTACAGTACTGTAGTAATGTTAGCTCATCATCAATATTTTTTTTCTTCAGAATATTGAAGTTGGCCTTTTCAGATGTTTTTAATGGCCTTATTGACACAGTACTGCAGCACTACTGGGTGATCTACTACACTTGCTTAAGTTCTGCACTTTGTTCATGTTCACACTGCTGTACTGTTTGCTGTAATGATCTGCAATACCTACTGAAGTCCTGTTCTTTGATCTTGTTCATACTGCAATACTATTTGGTGATTTGCCATTCTGTATTTGCCAAGGTTCTGCACTTGGGTATTGTTCATACTGTAACACTCATTGGTAATCTTTCACACATTACTGAGGTGCTACACTAACCATCTGGATTGTTCTGTCTATTTTCGTTTCTTAAATTATTTATTTCTCAAATATACATTTTTTGTTTCTTTACCTCAATAGTCTACAGTGAATACTCTTTAATACAAATCCTCTTTTTCTATTAATATTCTCATTTATTTATGCAAACACATGCCAAGAACTTCACTTGCTTGCTAACCAAACTATACTTAAAAGAATTCTTTGCCAAATCTTACAAGAACTTCTAGTGGGTCATCAAGTCTTGGATGTACTTGATATAATTATGCTGAAATATTTGGGTAAAAATTCTTCACATACCACATGGCTTTAAGCATAGGAAAAGATGCAAATTATATAAATACCAGTAGTACTATAGATAGTAAAACCTGTAGGTATATTTTATTTATTTACGTATTATGAATTTATTTGTGAGACACTAATGTTCTTCCCTTCCTTATATATTTGTTTCTGCATAGGCATTCGCTGAATGAATACTAAGCAGGCAAACTGCATAGAATGGCTTACAGTGAATCAATACTATCTACCATTTATATATGTATATTCATGTGATACGTCAGGTATTCATGAAACCACCATTATTCTTAAGCAACTGGCAATGATTTTATGTACAGGTAGTACTGTTCTGTATATTTAGATCTAACAAGACATACAGTGGGGTATGCTATAACGAATCTAATTGGTTCTAGAACCTTGTTCGTTATAGGATTAATCCGTTCCAGGCCCCCAAATACAACCACTTAACACTGAAAAATATAATATAATATTGTAAAAATTGTAAAAAAAAGTGCATAAATTAGTAAAAAAAAAAAAAAAAAATTTTAAATAATGTTCGTTGTAGGAGTTTCGTTCGTTGTAGCATTCTCAATTTTATAGGTAAAACCGTTCGTTATAGGAATATTCGTAGTAGGATCCGTTCGTTATAGCATACCCCATTGTATATGGAAATACCCTCAATGTCAGTGGCATGTATGTAAGTATTGAATAAGAAGTACAGGAATGATTTTTATTGTTTGTACTTAAGGGTTTGCATTGTACCTTTCAGGACAGTAAAAAGTAACAGAATTATATGGGGTCAAGATTAGTGCTCAGTGTTAACTGTCACTTATAACATAATTTAGAAGAACTGAAAGGGGTTAACATTTGGTTGTCATAAATAGACTTGGGTGCTGTATGTAATTTTATACTAAGTGCAAATAAAGTTAAGGGTATTGTTTCACTTAACACAGTATACAGCATATTATTCTAATCTGAGAATGGAGTTGCATTTTCATTGATTGGTTTGCAGAATGCAACTGAAAATCTTTATTGACAACTGTACGTAATCACTTTTATTTATAGAACATTGGATTCTTCGGAGAAGGATAATGTTCTTACATTGTATTATATGCAGCTGCCTTGTGTAACTATTTGTCATTTCCTGCTTGTACACATGGTAAAAAAAGTATCTTGCCACTATTTGTGTGAAACAATATGACATCACAGACAAAGGATTTTAACATTTCAAAATTGATCAGACCCATCTAGGAAGAATCCTTTTTTTACTTATATGTACATACAGTATACGTATGTTTTTATCAAACAGCATGACAGGAACCAACAGTCTTGATTTTAAAGGTACAGATTGTTGTGTGTCACTGAGTGTAAACCAGTTTTATATTAGTTGTGTTTTTTTTTTTAATAGTATACAGTACATCAGGGAATTATCATTAATTATTAAAATGTGATTATATTAGTGAAAACCTGCTTCTAACGAAAATTAAACACCGGTGCCTATTTTCATGTGAAATGTTCTGCTGCAATTTACTTTTTAAAATTTCACACAAGAAATTTAATTTCCGAGAAATTAATGTACTTTTTCTTACAAAAATTTAAAGTGTTCTAATTGATATATAGTACTGCATGCATTTTTAATTTGAGAAATTTCATTCCTATTGGTAAAGTAGTTTGGTACAGTACAATCTTTTCATCATCAAAAACTGTTACAAACTAATATCCTTGTTATAGTAATACGAAGAATATATAATATTAAAATAATTGGGGGTGGATTCACGAGGAATATTTGTGCAACCTAAAGATAGGCCTATGTATTCTATAATTTCCTGTGTACAGTACTGTATTTCATGTTTTTTGTAGAGCTTACAGCCATAGATGAAAACTGAGTATAAAATACTAAGGATTGTTACCTACACATTATTGTAGTTTTAAGTGATAGATAATGAAGTAACCTGTCTTTTAGATGCACATTTGTCCCATAGAGTACCTTCAGAATTTTATATATAGAGTG